GCAATAGTACATTCATGTAGTTGTAAACAGCATGATAATATATTAAGTAATCCAAAGTATTCAGAATACGTTACTCTCATTGAGTAACGTAATGGAATACGTTACAGAATACATTTTGGGGCATGTATTCTGTATTCTGTAATGGAATACATTTTAAAAGTAACCTTCCCAACACTGTGGATGGATTTAATTAATATTGTAAGTTGCATCATTGGTGCAATTAATCCCCAAAAAGTAGATTCCAGAAATCATATCGGTGTTACTTGATAAACCGTTTGAACTTCTAAAGGTGTGGGAGGCCAGAACACGACAGCAGGCTTAAAGTTTGACTGAATTTCTTTTCTATTAAATGTCAAAGACGTTTCTAAACAAACTTAAGTAATGAGGTAATATGTGCTGGAGTTTGAGAGGAAATGGTGCCTTATTTGGACTGTAACAGCAGTCTGTGTCATTCCACAACCAATATTGTTTTTAAACACTGGAATAATGTTGTCAAGTGAGGGGTGTACCAACCAGTCCACACCCACTATCCTGTACAACAGCTGTCCCCAACCCCCGGGCCTCGGATCGGTACCGGTCCGTGAGTCGTTTGGTACCGGGCCGCGAGAGTTGAGGCTCAGGTGTGAAATGTATGGTTTTCAGGGTTTTTATTGGTTTTCAGCGTTATTTTGTTATCATTTTTATCGTTAACTCTGTTTTCCTGGATCTTTTCACATGTGTTATGAATAAATCTTCTTTTTTTCCAGTACTGGTACTAGTTTTATTTTGTTGCATTTATCCGCGACACCTTAAAGGCCAGTCCGTGAAAATATTGTCGGGCATAAACCGGTCCGTGGCGCAAAAAAGGTTGGAGACCGCTGCTGTACAACACTCATGTAGACTATTTGCACTAAACCTTTTTGACTGGTGTGTTTTTATTTACTGACCTTAATAGCTTTAAGAAACACTAAAGATCTCAAATACTGTTGGGTTTAAGAGTTGTAGATGGGTTGATTCTGTGATGATTTGATGATGATGATTATAAATGTTGTCAGTTTAATATTTTTATGGTTATATGATGCTGGTGCATTTACTGTCTATAAGTTTCTTCAATCAAAACAGCATCAGCAGGAAATAAAGTCTTTGTCTATGTTTTAAACGAAAGTAAGAATTACTTAACCAGCTGTTCCTTTATTAAAGTTTTTTTTAGATGTGTGATGCTGTGTATGAATGTGTGATGTACCCAACATAGAACTGTGACATTCAGTGGCTCAATATTTGTGTAAAAATATATTTTTTTAATGCATTTTTTATGATCCGGATTAATTAAATGTGACATTAATAATACAGCATGTGATTACTCTAAATAAGCTGTTAAATGTGTAGAATAATCTTTCATTTAGTGTTAGTTTTAATTTCAGCGCTAACTTTCTTCACTGATTATTTTAATGTATTGAGTTTCGAGTGCAGACAACACAGCAAACAGTGCATGACGTGTTACTACCCATGAAGGATTTGAATGGCTGAACTGTTTTTGTACACATAATTAAAACAAAAATTAAATAAATGTAGTCTTTTTTTCATGGTTTTTTATTTCATTGTCCTCTGTGTCCCTCAAAACAACAACAACAACGACAAGAGGACAACAAACCTTAATTTTACAGTTCTTTTGTTGACATTTTAAAGGAACAATTTCTCCAGGTGCTTGAAATATCTGTGGCTTTCTACAACACATTTTGTGAGTGCAAAGCTATATTCAACTGCCATTTTATTACTTGCATGTTTCTAGTATTGGGTTGCCTTCAGAGCTTCTTTAACCTTTTGTTACATAGATTCGTCCTGCTCTTAGCGGACATGAGCAGCACCTTGTGTGCTCTTCTGCTTTAAAACTTGGTGTCTTGCATTCAGAGATGCTCTTCTACATCCATCTTGCCTTTTAAGTGGCTCGTTGAAATCTCGGCATTATCCTCTCACCTCTGACATCATGGACCAGAGAACGGCCACTTACAAGAAAATCTCCCAGTAGATCAGCAGCTTCAAAAATATAAATAATACTTTTTTGGCATCAATAACCATGTCATGTTCAAGGTCACTTAGATCACCTTTCTTCCCCGTACTGATGCCCGTTTTTTTCTTGACATTGTCTTCATATTTACATGCCTCAGTGTACTGAGTTTCTGCCATGTGTTTGGCTGATTAAATATTTGAAACAGCTGAACAGGTGTACCTAATATAACTATCAATGCGTGCAAAAAGCAAAGCATTGGTTGTATATCTGATTTACTCTTAATGTGTAGAAAGATGTAATTTATACACCACATTATACAAGTTACACAGGAATGCTTAATTCAGCCTCCACAGGAGTCTGAAGGGGAAATGGTTATGAGTCACCTTTTCATTTAGTTCGGCCAGCTACCACAGTGAAATCTAACATATCGTTGTTATGAAGAATCAAAATGGGTCAAATTGTTTGTGAGATGAAATATGATGATGTAGCAGCTATCGTTTATCTGAATTACTATTTAATTGTTCTTTAATGTATTTTTTAATTACTTAAGTTAACTGTTGATGTTTCATCAGGAAGGGTGTCTGTCATAAAATATTTGCCAAATAAAACCACAGGGAGAGGCAAGGCTGAGATGGTTTGGGCATGTAGAGGAGGGATACTGGATATATGGGACCAAGGATGGTGACTATGGAGCTGCCAGGAAGGAGGAAAAGAGGAAGCTCACAGAGAAGATTCATGGATGTAGTGAAGATGTGTGTTGTTGATACATTCCTGCATACCTTGGTATATGATTCTGGACCACAATACAGTTATTACTTTTAATGCATATAAGCCTATATTTTTACAATTTTGCACTATTATTTAGTTGGGATTATTACTTTTATTTAAGTAAAAGGTCTAAACATAATAATTTACCATTTTGTTAAACACTTCTTCAAACCAAAATATTCTTGAAACCTTTGTGTTGAATTAAACTCTTTGTTTACTGTATTTATTTATGATCAAACATTCATAAGGTGAGCTTCCCACTACTATGAATTTTTACTTCCACCATTTGCCAGGCAGATCTGAGTCAAAATCTAAAGTCCTTATCTCAAAATGTCTCAAAATCTCAGAGACATGTAACCTGAAATTATTTGGAATTCTTAAGTCAATATTTGGAATGACAGACAACAGAAAATATTTTTCTTTTTTCAGTGGCAGAAACAAGCTTCCATATCCCTCCCCCCTACCACATCATTTAAAAAAAATCCTGAAAATGCCTAGACAAAAGGAAAAAAACTCATTTTTTCCCCTTACAAATATATGTTGTTTAACCGTATACTTGTGATTTTTTTATTTATTTATTTTTTGGTCAATGTAAATGTACAAATGTCCTTATAATTACTCTTTTTACCCTTATAATAATAATTATCCCCATGATGCCATAGGCTTGACCTGTCGAGTTTACCTCCTTTGTTAGGTTGTGCAACTACATTTCCCATAGTTCCTTTGAGAGTGGCTACTGTGTTGGATGACAGCTATCCGGCGCCGAAACACCGAAAGATACTCAGACGAAAGAGCCATGGCGGCCACGGGTGGAGGGAAAATTAGAAGCAGGAGATATCATATTGCCTCTAAACCTTACGCCAAGAGTAAACAGGTAAACAGAACGAACAATTTAAGTTTAAAGCCCGTTTCGAGGACCGTACAGTGACTGTAATGCTTGTATTCTTGAGGTCTTGTTATTGTTTAGTTGAAGACATTTTGTGGCCTGCAGTTAGCGCTCGTGGCCTCCACGCGCTGCTAGCATGCACAGGAAATGCTAACGGCTAAAGGCTAGCTAACTAGCTCATAGGTTAGCAAAAGCAGGCGGGCTTGACAGTCCAATCCCAACACGGTGTGTCGTTTACATTAGGTTACGAGTGTTGATTAAGTGCTCATTCACATGCGACAAGTTGAGATAGGCAATATTTGCTGAAGTCGTGAGTTTTTAACTGTTAACAAAGTTCGTAGAAAGCGAGGAAGCCGTTAGCCGATGGAGCTAGTGCTAGTGGACGCTAGCTTCGGCGAACGCTAGCATCGGCGAACGGCGCATTGTTGTCCTCGGTTCTTAAGTTTTGAGGCGTCATACTGTTGCAGGTAGACGTGGCAAGATGGTTTGGTTCTAAGTAACAACTGTCTCGGGGTACACATAACTGTTTTCCATTTTAAGCTTGTGTTGGTGGGCTGGGTGGAAACCTTTTAAGTGCTAGGCACCGTTAGCCAAATCAAAGCCAGCTGAACTGCGCAGAGAGCATTGGCTGCTTGGAAACCCACATGGTTACCTTACTGGGTATATTTGCCGCCTGGACAGCGGTATTGTTGGCTTTAAACCCACCCTGTGATCTTAATGGTGGCTAAGACAATCTTGTGTACTTTTGTTTTTTTATCAGTTAAAAAAACTCCAGTTAATAACTACAAGTTTATTGTCTATCTGGAGTGCAAATTAACTGGAAATCTTTCTTTCTTCCTTCCTTTCTTTTTTTTTGAGAAATATACAATCGACTTTCCTTGACAGTCGTCGTTAATAGTCGTAGTTGTACAATCATCAGCACCAGCATGAATGAATTTCAAATAAGACAGGATTTTGGATAGATATTATTTATGCTTACCATCAAGATATATTGATTATACAAACAAAATACTACACATTTTTTAATTCGACTCTTCTGGGTTTCATGGTTTTTGTTTTCCTCCCATGTTTGATGCTCTGGATCAGGTAATATCACAAATCAAGTTCAAGTATAATCAACATGTTTCTATCAAGCATTATAATTGATTGCATTCTTACGACTATGTTTGACTCTTTACAAGTTGTGGCAGTGATTTATTAAGCTGCTAATTGACCAGAATCTAATTCAGGGTCACAAGGGCAGAGGGCTGGAGCCCATCCCAACTGTCATAGAACGACAGGTACGGTGCTCCCTGGGCAGGTCGCCAGACTGTTGTAGGGCTAATGCATATACACAGAAAACATTCACACTTCTACCTAAAAGCATCAGTTAACCGACAGCAGAAAAAGAAGATTCATGTAATTTTCCAAGCTCTGCTGTTCTCGTGCCAGTGTCATGTTACAGCTCTTAACAGCATATCTCACATAATCAGCAACCCAGATTTTGCATAATTCAGCATTGATCCCATGGCAATGTACCCTTTTGACTTCGCACATAGTGTTAAAATAGAAATGGCATTCATGGTAACAATGAAGACAAGTACATGAAACTGTAGCATGAAACACAAAAAGAAGTTGAATAGTTTTTCACCTCTGTAACATGTGAGTCAAGGTTAAGTCTTTTTAAATTGTGCATCGATTCAATAGCACATGATGCAGAAGTGTTTGAACTTTCACATTTAAGTAAAGGCTCACTCACCCTCAAACAACAATTACCCAAATCTTATTTACAGTTTAAAAGATAGGTTTAATTTTTCATCATCAGTTTTGTTTACACAACACTTTGTTGAGAAAGCAGAAGGAGCTTGGTAAGTGTTTGTGCTGTTTCTGTCTTGATTCACTTCTAGGATTGCAATTCTTCAAAACAATTGGGCTGGCTTCACTTTTCTTTTTTTTTTAAAATAAGAGTACAAATTTAATTAGATATTGTTCACTTCAGGCTTTTCGAGGTTGACGTGC